GAAGACTGGAGTAATGATGCTGAAAATTCAGCTTTACATCACAGAAATAAATGACATTTTACAAAATATTCACATAGAAAACAGTTAATTTAAATTGTAATAATTTCACAATATTACAGTTTTTTTCTGTATTTTTAATCAAATAAATGCAGCCTTGATGAGCAGAAGAAACCTTTAAAAAAAACAGAAAAAATCTTACTGATCATAAACTTTATTTATTTACTACTTTATTTATTTATTACTTTATGTATGTATTTTATTTATTTATTATATATATATATAACACACAGAGACACTGTCAGTATGTACAGGTGAAGAGGCAACTTTCCAGTGTGAGTGGAAAAGATTATTAATTTCTACGAGTACATCATTTATCTGATTTAGTCACAAGCTGGAAGTGCCATGTACCTCCACACGACCACCATTTCATCCGAATGCAACACCTCACACAAAGCTCATGTGTCTTTCAGCCGCTCTGGCTGTATTTACCTTCAGTGTGTGTGTGTGTGTGTGTGTGTGTGTGTGTACTCCTACACACACACTCATGTTCTGAGCTTTGTTTCCTGCTGCAGGATGTGCCGTCTCTGAGCTCTATTTACCCAACAGGAGTGTGTGTGAGTGTGTGTGTGAGTTTGGCCTGATAACGCCTGGTACCTCTGAGTCAGCCATTTCTACCCTTAAAACTCACACCTTAACACAGACATATCGCAAGAAAGATGAGATTAAATTAATCGCTACGGTAGAGATCGTTATTTCCTGAAGTTGTGCGCTCGATTACACTGTTATACACTGATATGAAACATACCGGTCTTCTCTGTTACGATCCACTGCGTAAAACTGTTTTCTCAGCCACCTGAGCTCAACAAAAGAAAAAAAGAAAATACAGGACACTTTAATGTTCACATTTCAGGCACTTTTACACTTGACATATGTGACCCTGGAGCACAAAAGCAGTCTTAAGTCGCTGGGGTATATTTGTAGCAATAGCCAACAATACATTGTATGGGTCAAAATTATTGATTTTTCTTTTATGCCAAAAATCATTAGGATATTAAGTAAAGATCATGTTCCATGAAGATATTTTGTAAATTTCCTACCGTAAATATATAAAAACTGTGTCTGTGTGTGTGTGTGTGTGTGTGTGTACAGAAGTGATGCACAGCAGCAGAGTTATGGTTTACCTGCCAGACTGAGTGCTTTGAGCCGAAACTCTGTGCCGTAGAGGATGACGAAGCAGTGGGCCTGGTCCGGCCGGGCGGTCGAGTCCTCCACATACCGCTCGAAGTCTCGTGACTTCTGGCCCATGCGGATCTCCTTAATCTCCCGAATATCAACTGAAAGAGACACGAGAGACGGACTGGAGTAAACCAAACAATTCAGAAAAAGGATTAAACTGCAATGAAATACCCTTTTTTCATCACAACAGGAAAGAAACATTTAGGTTTTTATTAACATATTTTAACTAGTGTGAATCTTTGGGTTGATGGGGAATCGATTCAATTCAGGATTTAAAAAGCAATTTTTAGTAATTCAAAGCAATTGGATTCAATACATACACTACTGTTTAAAGGTTTGAAGTGGGTACGTTTTTTTAATGTTTTTGAAAGAAGTGTCTTCTGCTCAGAGGCTGCATTTATTTGATCAATAATACAGTAAAACAAGTAATATTGTGAAATATTATTACAGTTTATGAATATATGTTCAAATGTAATTTATTCCTGTGATGTAAAGCTGAATTTTCAGCATCATTACTCCAGTCTTCAGTGTCACATGATCCTTCAGAAATCATTCTAATATGCTGATTTGCTGCTCAAGAAACATTTCTGATTATCAGCAATGTTGAAACAGTTGTGCTGCTTCGTATTTTTGCAGAAACTGTGATTTTTTTTCAGGATTTTTTATGTTTGAATGATGATTTGAATTGAAAGTTCAAAAGAACAGCATTTATTTGAAACAGAAACCTTTTTTAACTTTAGCAATGTATTTACTGTGACTTTTGATCAATTTCATTCATTCTTGCTGAATAAAAATATCACTTTCTTTCTCAAAAATAAAAACCCGTGACCTCAGTGTTGCTAGTGCTCTTCTGTCTGAGCTGCAGGAATATTACTTTTATACTTTCATAGTTACTATTAGGGTAGCAAAGGGGTGGAAAATTTCCGGTAAACTTCCGGAAACTTTCCAAAAATCCCTGGAATATTCAAAAAAATCCTTTTTGCAACCCTAGTTACTATAACCACAAGACCACATATGTATTTAAAAAATAACAGAAGTCGCCAACTAAAAAATGACAGCAATAAAAACAATGGCACTGAGAAAGTTTTGATTAAGACACATTTTTGACATTTCAATGGCCCTATCATGAACATTTTGGACATGTGCCATGGTAATTACACAATATTTTTTTGATGTACCTTAGATAACCATATAAATATGATCATTTAACACCACATTATTACATCTGATACCATCGCTGTACATGATCCCGGCACAGGACAGG